TCTCTGAAATTGTTTGAAGACTAAGATGCCTTCTCTCTTTTCCTATCCCTCCAGAGAAGCTTGTCAAGCGTACAGCCATCCATCAAACCGTCTCACTCGGCTGCAGTCCATGCTTGGGCTCATTCATGGGACTTTGTTTCACTCATGCCACATAAACAATTCTTGCTTGAATATATCATAGTCGCTAATCACAAGGAGCTGTCAGGCTAGGGTACCTTGGTCACATGTCCAAGTTAGGTCATGCCGCATAATTTTGCCATGAGTCTGGGTTGGTGACCATCCCAGCTACCGGGTAACCTAGTGGCGGAGGCCTCGCCCGCAGGATCCGGTCACAGCTCTGCCGACGCAAGCGCGGACTCGGGCGGATGAATGCTGTGGGCGGCAAACTTCATCGGCGTGACTTAGGTTGGGAGCGAAAACTCGACGACAAATCTTTGTACCACGTCGTACCTGTGAGGCCTCCATCGGCATAATTGACAATAAGTGTGATGCTTGGCTGTCTCATGCTCGTAATGCTGGCTTGAGTTCGCAGGGCTTCCAAAATGTAATAATGCGGCCCAACCTATGATGCCGGCCATGGATGGTAAGCTCGAGTAAGTCGATATCTTGCGCGGCTGCGGAAGCGGTCCGGCGAGACGATCTTGGCTCGAACCCGCGACCTTTGTACGGAAAAGAAAACAAGCTATCCATGGCATTATGTAGGACCGTGAGCCAACATATGTTCTTTGTCAGAATCATACCGCTCGGCCATCGACTACAACGGACGGTGCTTGTTGACAGCCTCTTCGCCTTTGGCGCCTATAGGGAAGGGGGCAGAGATCGGATGAGTGTCCATCAAGGTGCGTGATGAACAGTGATTTAGAAGGTGAGCTCACCTACCCAAGATGAAAACTGTCAGAAAGGGGTCAGACCGTATTCATCTGTGAATACTGACCTCATGTTTGCTCGCCTCTGTATGTGAGTACACCATACAAGCTAGGATAAAGGATATGACACCTATCCAAGTAACGTGGCATGGCAATGCTTCAACAATTCGTATTGATATGCACTGAATATTTTAATGAATGACTCTTCTGGAGGTATAAGGGAAGCCCTTAGCACTACATGTGACAACCCATTGACTCAAGAACGGATCTTTGTGTAGCCTACTTACCCAAGCCGTGGTGAAACTTACAATTGATAAGAGGGAAGGATAGTGTCCCAAGTATTGGATGTGTGCTTGGTAAGAAAGTGTAGACCGAAAGAGCTTGCGATAGGACACTGAGCGACTGACAGCTCAACCTATGAGCTGGCGAGCAATACCGTTCGATATGCCACAATCGATATATTATTGTCGCCAACGACATCATCGACAGCAAAACACTCAAAGCTCGTCGCCCAATACTCAATCAACATGGTTGGCTACTTACATCTCACGTAAATCCAACGCATCCTGTATGCCACATCACTCAACCCTATCAAATGAGGATTGACCGAGCTTGCCTATTAAGGCAAGTCCCATCTCCATGTCATTGGGACCTACGAAATGCTTATCTTGCCAGAAGCCTTAGAGGAAATAAGCACAAGGGAGAGTTGCAGATAATCTCAAATCTCAATTGGAGAACTACGAAGGATCGCACTTGTTAGCATCATGTTCAGCTCGAAATCGGTATAGGGCTTACATGCGGATCGCCCGAGGAGCTGAGAGGCTGATAACTCCGAGTGGCTGCACCGCAAAAGAGTAAGACAAGATTTGGCGAGAAACGAGTTCCACTTTGTCTTAGCTGCCCCTCACGAAGCTCTCCAGCTCCTACTTGGGGCCACGCTAAACGCGGGGTCTTCTTGATAAAGACGTCGGGATCCTCATATGGGTTTCAATGGTCTTGAGTCCGCGGAGATATCAAAACATCAGGATTCAAGACTTATCGTTTACACCCAGGTCAATTCTTCACGAAATACTTGTCAAATCAATCACCGTCGAATAAGCTCCAACAATGCCTGTACTCAAGCCAGACGCTGAATTCGGGCATTGCGTGCCACCGGAGACGCAGTATGGAATCACCACCTACGCGCCAGGATGGGAAAATGCAATCAAGTTTCGAGAGGGAGATCGAGCCACTATGGCTCGTGTTGTACACATATACCCGAGATTTGGACCTTTCGGGCCTGTCTCCAAGGTCAGTCTTGTTCATTCTAAAGACCCCTAAATCGACAACACCAATGTAGACCACTATTGTAAAGCTGGAGAACTCAACTGACGAACTCAAACAAGGCACTCATGGCTATTTGCGCAAAGATCAAAACCCCCGAAGGCCACGGAGCACTCTTCTTCACCTCACCAGCCTCCTTCGCCACCGTGCGCGCCCACGCTCTTCACCCTCACCGGAAGCAGCAAGTCCTAAATGATGAGGACCTGGGCTACCGATGCGTAGATGTCAGCGATGTGCGTCTTTACCTAGTCACCTACCCGATGCCAAAGACACCCGGCGTCATCGGTGCCTGGCAGAACCCGGGCATAGGCGTCTCGATCCGTCTAGCGGAGAAGCTCTTGGAGGACATTGAATCCTTAGAAGAGGTCGAGTTCGAAGGCGCCGGAGACTCGCCGCCGCCGACAAAGTATCTAGCCGAGGGCGAGGCGCACGGCAAGCTGAGGGAGCGCATAACCGGACTTCTTCACCGGGCCGCGATCGACCCGGATCAGGTGAAAGCTGAGGCCAGAGACGTGTTTTTGTACCCCACGGGTATGGCCGCTATCTTCGCCGCCCATAGGACTCTGCTTGAGTACCGGCCCGGAAGCGTCGTGATCCTCGGCATCGCCTTCCATAGTACCGTTCACTATCTTCAAGACTCCTCGCCGCAGGGCTACAAGCACTTCGGCCCTGTCGACAAGAAGGGCGTCGACGACTTCGAGTATTGGCTTGACGCAGAAACGGCTTCTGGAAGGGACGTGAGCTATGTCATCGCCGAGTTTCCCAACAATCCTCTGCTAGCCAGCATTGATATCGACCGTATCAGAAAGCTTGTAAGTAACCAAATCATCAGATATCAGAGGTTGCTGGACCTACTTAACACCTACTTGTAGTCCCAAAAGCACAACTTCGTCCTCGTGCTCGACGATACAGTCGGTTCCTTCAGCAACATCGACATCCTTCCCCAGTCCGACATCCTCATCTCCTCGCTGACAAAGTCCTTCTCGGGCTACGCAAACGTCATGGGCGGTAGCATCGTCCTCAACCCGCTCTCATCACACTACTCCGCCCTTCAACCCCTCTGGTCCAAAACCCACCACAACGAGCTCTTCATCGGCGACGCCGAGGTCCTCCTCTCCAACTCGGAAGACTACCTCCCGCGCACCGCGATCCTGAACCGCAACGCCGCCGCCATGGCCGCCCACCTTCACGCCGAAGCCTCCAAGAACCCTGGATCGGGAGTCGTCAAAGTCCTCTACCCCTCCGTCCTCCCCGACTACGAAACCTATAGGTCCTTCCTCCGCAAATCGACCCCGGAGCTCCCCGAACCGGGCGCGGGATGCCTGCTGAGCGTCGACTTTGACTCCGTGGACGTTGCGCGGGCCTTCTACGACCGTCTAGCGTTTTACCCGGGCCCTCACCTCGGCGCTCACCGCACGCTCTGCCTGGCGTATAACACGCTCGCATTCGGCAAGTACCCGGACGAGGCGGCGTTCCATCGGTCATATGGCATCTTGGAGGAGACGGTGCGTATCTCTGCTGGTTTGGAAGATATGCAGGACTTGCTTGACACGCTGGATGATGCGTTGGCTGTTGCAAGGGAGGCTAAGGCGAAGTTGGCGGAGGGTCCTAAGACCGTGGAGGCTGCTGCTGGTCTTGGTGTTTCTGCCTAAGAACCCGCCTTGTTGAGCTGGGATGATTTTGTGGCTAGATAGGACTCTCTACCAATAAACCATACTCAAATGTGTTCTTCTGCAAATTACCCTAGATTCGTGGCCCGTGGGAGACTCTGACATGTTGCCGCCTAGCCAGGCTCTCATTAATGCTGAAATGGAAGCCTCAAGCCATTTAGACGCATCATGGGATCTAACTCTCTCTTTCGGTGCAATAAAGTGTCTTAATTTGAATATCGCAGTTGCAACAGTCTTAGTAGTGTTCGGAACGGCCCCCTCATTGTCAGATAAGACTGGGTTGCCACCAGCTGGACCTCCTTTCTTCACTCACCGTCTGTTTCACAACCATTCCCTGTTTCTGACAGGCTCTGCGTGTAACAAATGCCCAGAAGGCTCAATCTCCAAGACTGTTGGGCGAGGAGTAGCCAAACATACACGAATCAAATCCTTAGAAGGCTCAGACTGCTGGCTACTTAGCTCTCGGGAAGCTATCGTGAAGCACTTTGATGTTGTTGGAGATTGTGCAAAGTTTGGGAGAGCCATAGAGCCGCGAGTTCCACGACCAACTCAAATGTGCCCAAGTTGTTGTACGCTTCCAGCACAGCGATCCTACCTGGCACCTCACGTGCAATGTCTCGTGGCCCTGTTTGAGACGGTGGGCGGCAGCCCAAGTGACCTCAGAAACTGCGTTTGTCAGCTAGGAATTGAGACGTTTTGGCGTGCTTGGTCTACACTGTGGACCAGCTGTTTTAGTCCTGGTCATGCGCGTACTCAGAAGGACAATGAATCCTATGAGGTACTTCGATATAAACCAATAAAGAAAGCCGAAGGAACACACTATTTGGTTGTTTCAGATCAAGTAAAAGATACTGGAGTCGTTGGTACTGGAGGCGTCGTATTCGGAAGAGAACACAACGGGTATGAGGAGTGGCGAGAGAAAACTCGCCTGCATTGGACCACAAGATAATATTAAGAGAAAGTTGTTGATTACAACGTTACATACCTTTGGTAGAGCAATAGCAAAATTGTACCTTGGCCTTACGATTCGACGAGAGTCCACACCTCGCCATTCATTTGAAAATCGATTCAGTCTGCTACGATGTGCTTTGGTTTCATTCTGATTCTCTGTATATTTGTAAAGGTATGCAGGCGTCTGGCTACGATTCTAGTAGGTCTTTGTACAGCCTCGACCCCTTTTGTTCTGGATTTACGTTGCTAACCCCTCCATATGCCAACATACTCAGCTTGAAACCATCAGTAAGCCTTGCGAGGCATCACAGTAGCCACCTATTCGGCGAGAACACCAGCCCGGCACTAAGCAGAGGCTGCGGCTTCTTCCTTCTCAGGCTTACGACCAACGACCGAATAGCTGACATTAACCCATCAGCACATAGTAAACTTCGATAGGCTTATTGAAGGTCGTACTCACATGGGGAAGTAGGCGTGATAGCTCCCATTCTTCAAATCCTTCCGGACATTGACGAGAAAAACGTCGACCTCACCACGGGTCCAGCCGTGGACGCGGGTGAGCAGCGCCATGCATACGGCCTCGAGGGCGCTGGAGAAGTTCTCGTGGCACCAGAGGCCGAGTTTCTTGTATCTATCACAAGGGCGTGTCAGCCGAAGTATTCCTTCCGACCTGGGAAATGATGAAACCTGTTTTACCCCAATGGAATGGGGACTTGATGGATAAATGGGATAAAGTGTCATTGGATTGTACATACTTCTCATCTTTCGGCCAGCCATTCATGGGCCACTTGAATATTCGGAGCTCGATGTCGACAAAACCAGCCTCAACAACAAGGCTTTTGAGAGCAGATACGTCGACGAACACACGGCCCATCTTTTCGGACCCAGAAAGGATGAGGTTGACGTACTCGTGTATCGAAGAGTCCTTGGGAAGGGTATTGTCGTCAGACACTGGATCAACTTGGTTCTCTAGAAGCTCGAGGTATCCGCCTGGTGCAACGTTGCTGAAGCCAAGGTCAATTAGTCGTCCAATTGGTCAGTTTAGCGAAAATTCTTTGAGGAACACTAACTCATAGCATTTCTTGAGATATTCTTTCCAGTTTGCGATGCTTGCGTTCATGAAGCGGCTGTGGATGTAGTTGAATGGTTCCGAGTACGTCCACTCTTCTTCGATGTCGTCTATTTCGAACCTCACATTGGGAGGCACGCTAAATACGTAAAGATGAGCCCCGATGAAACTGGATGAGTTATTCACTTGATACGCAAACCTGACTTACAATTCTTGCTGAGGAGCGGAGAGATCGATGCCCAGAATCTGGAAACGTAAGAATAGTATGTTAGATACGCGAATCATCACGTCAAGCAAGTTCAGGGCTTGCAAAGGAGAAGGGCCGCAAAGCTACCTCAGCTTCGGGGTGCAAGTCCCCGAAATCAACGGCCCAGACCCCGGTCCCAGTCCCGACGTCGAGAACGCGGCCGACTTTGGAGTCCGGTTTGCACGGAGGCGCGAGGCCGAGTTTGCCATCGAGCGTGTAGATGAAGATCTCATGTTGCTGATCTGCTCCTCATGGCAGTAGAAATAGTCGAGTCAGACTATGCGCTTTCTTTGAAATGGGGTGTGTGAGTGCGTCAGGAGGCGAATACGCACCTAATCTGTCGCTCTCTCTTGCATCGTTGGGAAAGATGTATTCTGCGCTTGTTCTCAGCTTCTCGAACGCGTAAGTTGAGTAGAGAAAGATGAGTCTCACTGCCGTCCTTGTATCGATGATACGTTCTGCCGTTCTCGATCCGGTAATCGAGGATAGAGGCGGTGATGCTCGTGCTTGAAGAGGCCATGCTCTAATGGCTTGTTAGAGACTGTGGTGTTCCGTACCATCACAAAGAGCTGGTGGCGGTCAGCTGAAGACGGGGTTAATCTACCTCAAGATCCGAAGTGTCGTGTCCAGAATCCTGTCGTAGACAGGTAAGTTTCGAACTCGCAGAGCTGGAGAAGTGGCTTAAGATGAATTACCTCATCTCCGGGCACAAGCACAACCTCGTGCGTGACCTCAGCCATGATCTCGAAGTGTTACTACCCTACAATGCTTAGGGATGTGTTTGCCGCGAGTGCTTCTTAGCCGATGTTTCGTGTCCTCAATTGCGTTTTGATATACGCTGGAACCAAGAGCTGGGTTTGCCAATCAATACCGAGGTACCAGGGAAGTTGAGAACCAAAACTATCACTTCAATCCTCTTTTCACAAGATAAATGGGCAAGGTAGTGAACCCCTCTTCCGAGGCGGATGGATGGAACTATATGCCCGCGATACCAACCAACATGCATATGCGTGTCAACGGCTCGGTTGCCCTTTCTGCCCACTTGCAAGGATTCACCATGTGGAGATATTTCCAGAATGGATTCTACTGCAGGAGACCTGCGATCAAGTCGTGCTTTCTCAGAAAGCCTTGGATTATCTCAAGTCCATCGAGCTGGTTTCTCAAGCTGTACATATTCCGACCAAATATCTAACCCGGAACACCACTATGTCCGATGTTGAAGGCAAGAGACAAGAATGATCAAGGCATTGCCAAGTCTCCAAAGTAAAAGCCTTACGGGAAAGCCAATCTTAGAAAGAGCCTTTGCTCTATTATGAGCTTCGTTCGGCCAGTCACTAGCTCGAGGCCTTGCAAATTGGTTATGCTTTGCATCGTAACATGCTTAAATTTGTCACATCCACAACAACGTGCTTTGGCTTCATTATATTCCTCTGCAAGTAGTCCTGCAGCTTGTTAAACGGAAGAGAACAAGAAAAGACCAACGCCAAACTCTCCCTTCCTCACCGTATCAGAAGCCCACGTCCCACATAATCTCATCTACAAAGGCGTCACACCATTTTTCTATTCCTCTCCAGAAATACTCTCTTACACCATCGCAGTCACTCTCCTTACAGTTCTCCTTGCGCCTTCACCGCTAACCATGATAAGACCCTCCATCTCCAAGGTCCGCATCGTCTCGTTGAAGTCGCTCTGCTCAACCGGCATGCTAGCCGACTCGCTGAGCCTTCGTGCAACCTCGGCCCATTTGACAGTCTGTCCGTTGCTGGTCAGCTCGTCGAGCAGGTGAAGCACGGCGTTCTTGATCTCCTCCTTTTTGCGGCGATCGGCAGCGCTCGTGCCTTCCGTCAGGAGGCTCATGTCGATGCGACCCTGGGAATCGGTGGCGGCAGTCTTCAAGGCAGAGCGAATGAGGCGGGCGGCTTCCATGACGTCCTCGCGAACGACCGTCGTAGACAAACGCATCTTGGCGTGAGCCTCGGACAGACGGATCATGGACTCAAGTTGACGAGTGGTAGCAGTGATACGCTTCTCCGCAGCGCGGACATCCTGGCCAAGCTTGCGCATCTCAAGGTATTGGTTCACCAACTCTTGAGCGGCATCTTGGGCGATGGTAGGCTGTATTTGAGAGCGAGCATAGGAGATGTAAGTAGTGAGGAATTCAACAGGCTGCACCCGGTTAGCAGTTGCAAATATCGTGTGAGCCATCAGGTACTTACGAGAATATCGTCCTTCTGCTGGGCAGACTCTGGGTTATCCTCCAAGTACAGAGAAAGAAGATGGCGAGCAAGACGAGCATCGCTCTTCTCATCCGCGCGGTCAAGGATAAGGTAGACCAGATCGAAACGAGACAGCAGAGTGGGGGGCAGGTCGATGTTCTGAGGTACGGGCAGGTCAGGGTTGTAGCGACTGCCAATCGGGTTGGCAGAAGCTAGAATACTTGTCCGGGCGTTCAAAGTGGTGATGATACCGGCCTTGGCAACGGATACCGTCTGCTGTTCCATCACTTCGTGGAGAACGGAACGAGTTGATTCTGACATCTTATCGAACTCGTCGATACAGCAGACACCGCCGTCAGACAAGACCAGGGCACCAGACTCAAGAACGAGCTGGCGAGTCTCAGGATCTCTGGTGACGTACGCAGTGAGACCGACAGCTGAGGAACCCTTACCACTGGTGTATACACCACGAGGAGCAATCTTGTGCACGTAGGAGAGAATCTGGGACTTGGAGGTCGAAGGGTCACCGCAGAGCAAGACGTTAATATCGCCTCTGTATCTGGGGCTGCCACCCTTGGTGAAAGTCTTGTTGGTGCCACCGAATAGTTGCAGCAAAATTCCCTTCTTTACGTCGTCCATCTCGTAGATAGATGGAGCGAGTGAGCGAGAAAGAAGATCGTAGATGTCTGGTCTGGCAGCGGTCTCCTTGATCTTCTCTTCCTCCTCAGGGCTGATCTTCTTGGTTTCTTCGAGGTTAGGGTCGTTGCCAGAATCCTCTTCTTCACCTTCGAGGCCGAGAGTAGAAGGGTCGACGCCCATCCTCTTCTTGTCCACCTTTTGAACGTGCAACACATCGACATATGTCTTGTAGATGCTCTTGATGGTTCTTTGGCGAGGGTTCACACGCACAGGGTTGACGCGGAAGATACCCGTAAGCTCAACACGGTCACCAGCTTTGCAGAAGTCCACCAACTCGTTGTACACGCAAACCGAGACTGAGTGGGGTGTTTGTCCGGCCGGAACTGCATCGGGAGTCTCCTGGAGTTTGATTACCTGCTTGTCATCGAAGACACAGCGATTGTGGATAATCTGCATGGAGTTCTTGGAGGCGCAGCGAGTACGCGGGCACTCGGTGGGCTCACGGATCTTGCCTCTGTCGAGACCAACGTTTACCGAGTGGTTGCAAACACTGCAACGGAAAAACGCATCTTTCATGTCTGGGATGACCGGCGTGGTGCGGATGACAAGACCCTTGATGGTGATGAGCCTGTCCATATCAGAGGGGTTCAGGTCTCGAAGGTTGGTCGTCTTGTCCAATCCGAAAGGTCGGACCATGTACAGCAAGCCAGAAACCTCGTCTTCTTTCGAAGGGAGGTCCATTGTAGGTCGCGGTGTCGGGGCATCAGAGCCAGCATGATCTGAGCTCGGGAAGGCAATCTCGGAGCTGGGTGCAGTGTTGCTTCGCCTAGCCGCATCGCCAGCACTGCTCTGAGAGGCACGTTGTCTTTGGTCTTCGGCTCTTGCCAACTCTACCATCATGTCGCTCACTGACTGATCCATAATGGGGACGATTTCCTGCGGGTAGGCTTGGAGGTGGTACCAGAGCTTGCGCGTCGGGGGGTAGGTATTCAGATCGGCGACGTTGAGATGAAGTCTAGCGGTACCAAGAAGAAGCATGTTTTCCAAAGCCTCCCAGTATGGCTTGGACTCGGCGTCAGGGGCATTCTGAACCTCTGCCTCGGTCCAGCCCTCCCTGTACAGCTGGTATTTCCGTGTGAAGTGTCTGAGGAAATCCTTGAAGGCTGCGAAAGTGTCGTCGACGGAAACCGTGGTACCCCAAATGGCACTCTCTCCTTGCCCACCGAGACGATCTGCCTCTGACGTGTTGGGGTCTGGGTTGCTGAATGAAAGTGCATCGGAGCCCGGGGCGTCTGTGGTTACTCTGCCTTGGGGATCCAAGACAATGCGGCGACGGGGTGTTCTGATGCCTTCTGAGTTGATGTCACCTCTGCGGGAGCGAGATGATCTATCAGAGACAAAAAGACCACTGCTTTCGCTGCGCAAGTCTGACTGAGGCGCCCGCATCGGTCCCGGGCTGGAGCTGGCTTCGTATCGGATAGGAGACGATTCTGGGGATACAAGTCAGTATTTTGCATGCATACACACCAATGAAGTCATTACCTCTCATCATACCGCTCGCACGCGGTGTCCTGTCTCCATCGCCGGTCGATTGGGTATCAATGTCTTGACGCAGCGGGGAGCTGGGAGCAGGTCCAGCGGCGGTGCTCTGGCTGTTGCTCATGTTGCGCAAAGGAGACGAAACATCGCCATTGGCAGGTGCATTGCGACGACCATTGGCAGACTGCGCCGGAGAAGATTCATAGAACAGAGGGCTGGATGCAAGCTGTGACCGGCGGGTTGTGCGAGGGGTTTCTGCAGGGCGTTGTTGCGCCTCTTCGTCTGCGGGCGCGGGAGTGCTGCGATCAGCGTCCGGGTTGTTTCTCGTAGAACGGCGGGGAGTTCCACCGGCCGTTGAGCTTCTCGTCGACCTTTTCGAAGGGGAAGACATTCTGTTGATTTTGACGTTCGTAGTCTTCCTTGCGGTTGTTGGTCGAATGGGGGGGGGGAAGTGGGATGCGGGATGCGATTGAAAGAATATGTCCGTTGCTGGGGAGAGGGGAGGTGTGGAGAGGCGTCGTCCAGGAGCAACTAAAAGGTGGGCTGCATTGCAATCTCGAAAAAGCACTTTACGCGCTCACCTGGTCTAAACGCGTCCCGAAAAGGAGTTTCGCGTTTTCCACTTTACGCGCTATGGAAGCACTGGCCTGTGCGCTCCATCTACCGCCCATGTCGCTGGGGCCACCTATCTGATGGGGGCTCAAGGTCGGGTGGGTCTGCATAATCCCTGCTATCCGGCCATCGGCGAAACCACCCACCGACTTGCACCGATTCTGGGATGCTGAGGTGGTCAATTGCATCCCGCCAGAGCTCCCTACCAGGCACCGTTGACTAAAGTGACATTACCCAGCAACCCACCAGCAAGCGCAATCCGGCGCAACTACACCGCCAAACAACCGTCAAGATGGCTCCTGGAATGTCCCTTTTCTCCGTCAATGCGATCCTGATCCTCAGCATTGAGGACGGATCGCGGTTATTCTCCAAGTACTACAGCGCACCCCACCAAGGCACACAGAAGGACGGTATGCGCTGGCTCCCCCCTCCGACGTAGAGCTCTGGAGCTCCATGACTGACGAGACCGATCCACGATAGGCCAGACAAACTCGTACCCCGATGTCAAGTCGCAAAAGGCCTTTGAGAAGGGTCTCCTGGAGAAGACGGCCAAGCAGACCGGCGATATCATCCTCTACGACAACCGGATCGTTCTGTACAAGATGGAGTCGGACGTCATGATGTACGTCGTTGGAGGCGTTGACGAGAATGAGGTTCTTCTTTACAACGTTATTCTGGCCCTGAGAGATTCTCTGCACCTCCTCTTCAAGTAAGCTATACCCTTTTATGGTCCCTGGGAGCTGCAGGTAGCTGGTGGTTCTAACAGCTCTGTTAGGCAATCTGTCGACAAGCGCACAATCGTCGAGAACTACGACCTCGTCTCTCTCGCTATCGACGAGATCGTTGACGACGGCATCATCCTCGAGACCGACCCTACCATTATTGTTCAAAGAGTCAGCAAGGCGCCGGCGCAAGACGTTGACCTTCGTCGCATCGACCTCAGTGAACAAGGTGTCAACAACCTGGCCCAGCTGGGTAAGTCGAAACTGGCGGATTGGTTGCGGCAAGGCTTGTAAGGGGTTGTTTGTGGTGTAAGGGAGAGAGAGAAGATGGAGATATAAACCAGGGATGGTGTGCAAATGGGAGTTTTATGGTGGCTTCTAAAGGGAACGCATCATTAAAAGTATAGTCCTCCGAAAGGCGGACGTCATGACGAATGCCTCGAATTTATGCTTGATTCTATTGTTTTGTCCAAGAAACCCGTCTATGCTCGGATCTCGGAGGCCGCCTTGCGAAGCCTATTCATTACCGCCTCTGCAATGTCGTTCCTGTCGTCGATGCCGTCCACAAAGATAACGCTGGCACCTCTCCTATCCAGATCCCTAAGAGCCGAGAAAAGCCCCTGAGCGATCCCCCTGATGTCGTCGCCCAAATCTATGTCGAGGATCGTCGCCATGGGTTTATCCTCTGCGTCCTGAAGCTCGCCCTCCTGCACCTCGTACGCCGCTTCGTCCCTCGCATTGGCCGCCGTAGCCCCGTCGACATGAACCTTGGAGACTTGCAACGCGCCGTGGTGCAGACCTCCCGCAATCTTCCACCGCCTCGTGCGAATGATGCCAATCTTGAGCGGACCCGGCCCGGCGCCATTCGTCGCCGTCACGTCGCCATTCTGCTGGATCAGCGCTTTTTGCAGGTCCTCGGCAATGATGCCCTCAGCACCCGCCTCGCAAGCCCACTCGTATAACACGACCTTTGCCTTGGGGCTGTAATGCTTATACTTCATCCCCGGCGCCCGCGGCGTCGCCTTGCCCATCTCGCTCTCGTCTTTGTACGCCTTAACGACGCCCTCCCAGCCGGGGCAAGCCCGCAGCTCCTCCATGCCCACGCCGCCGGGCCTCAGCACGACGGGCGGGTCGCACAGGCCGTCGACGACGGTGCTCTCCACGCCGACCTGGCACGCCCCGCCGTCCAGGATGAGCTCGATGCGCCCTTCTAGATCGTGCAAGACGTGCTGCGCCGTCGTGGGCGACGGTTTCGTGGAGGCATTGGCCGAGGGCGCGGCCAGGGGCACGCCGGCGAGCTTGATGAGCGTCAGCGCCAGCGGCGACGACGGCATCCGCACGCCGAAGCTCGGTAGCCCCGCCGTGACTTCGGGCGCGAGCTTGCTCGTCTCCGGATTCCTCAGCAAGATCGTCAGGGGTCCGGGCCAGAACTTTTCAATGAGCGGCTTGTAGATTTCCGGGATCGGGTCTTTTGCTGCTGCGTCGCCGTTTGCCTGCTTCTCGGACCGCAGCAGGCCCCGCAACATATCCAGATCGCAGACGTGCGATATCAGAGGGTTGTCTGATGGCCGGCCCTTGGCTGAGTAGATGCCCTTGACGGCGCCGCTTCTCGTGGCGTCGGCCCCGAGGCCGTAGACGGTTTCGGTTGGAAATGCTACGGGCGTGTCCTTGCTGCGCAGGTATTCCGCGGCATCTTGTAGGGCGGCTATTGATGCGCCAGAGGCCGAGTTGGCGATTTCCCAGTTGCTTAACCTCTCAGGTCCCTCTGCATCTCTGAAATTCCCTAAGCCTTGAGCCTCGACTTTCACTACTCGGGTCTCCATTGTGAATTTGTTGTTGTGCTGTGATGAAAATAGTCGCCGGTAGTTATGGCTAGAAGTCGGAATTTGACGACTTATACGGCGTATGAGAGATAGTGCGAAAAGATACGTGGGTTGAGTTTGCATAAATCCAAGGGTGGGAGGAAAATAAAGTTGACAGAAGAGGGTCTACCTAGATGGCTTTCTCCGATATCATACGAAGAATCTAGATCGTCGTCATATGAGATGAATTGGGTATCAACAAAAGGTCTTCATGCAGATCAAGTGGATGAGAGGGACGGGATGGTCAAGTTGAGTCATATGTGGAAAAAAAATTCTCTGGATGAGGCTAAGTGAATGAGATGTGTGTGGCCGTTGGTGCTGCGCTTTAGCGGCGATATTTCCGATTTTAGGGAACCGGTGGTCGGATTTTGCCCGTCAGTAGCAGTGACATCTGCTGCTAAGGTCACCTCCACCGATCGTCTTTCAGTGGGGCCAGTGATGTGATTGTGGTGGGGGTTGGGTCTGCTTCAGGCACTCGCCACGTGCTGAGCCGACTTCGAGAAGTTCCGTGTATGAAGTTTGAGGTAGAATACTCTATAGAAGCTTCGGCTTGGAAGTTATGATCATGACCTCCTTTTGCCTGCTATTTAGAGGCATTTTGCAGGCTGCATGCGCCGAAGAGTGATCAGAAAATTTGGTGTCCTCCACTTCGCAATTTAATTCCCAAGATGTTGCTTGTGTAATATAGTATAGTTATAGCCGCAAAAAATGCAGTTTGATCTTGTAACAATCACCTAGTTACGGAACCAACTTTGAGAGAAGACCACGAGGTATTTCAAGCACCATTGCTAGCCTTTGATCACATTAAATGTGTCCAGACAGCGCCCTCGACTTTCCCATTCTCCGTCCCTACAAGATGGCTGCATCGATGTGGGACCCTGCCCACCACGGCATAAAACCTTCCATCTGCGGTCTGGCTGACCGGAGCAAGCCTCGCCACCAGCTGCGCAGATTCGGACCAAGCACGCAAGGAGAACTGTGGCCGTTCATCTCCTCCACGGCGTTCTGCGCAGTCAACAAGACTCGAGCCTGCGTTCTCCTGGAGCAGTCCCAGCCCGAGTCCGTACTAGACAAGTAGCTCGCATAGTCGTCGCGGTAAGGCATGCATATGCCGTGGGACGCAGCGCGATTTCTGCATCTGTCCTAGACCAGTGAGCCTTTCTGTCGCTAGGATCAGGGACAGTTTTGTGTGTACTTGAACGCAGTCAGGTAGGTGTCATACCATCGCCTGACCATCTTCCGTCCATTGGATTCAAGCCACTGGCCAGTGCCGAGGCTGTCCGTCTCTTTTCTGTAAGCTGACAGGGAGCATCAGACAAGCTCAGCGTTCCCATCATCAACAACGGGCTTTGCGCTGGACCACCTCAAAATCAAGATGTCACCCGTCTCCGCTAGCACGGAGCCGTCCGCGTCCGTTCCCTTTCCTTCCACTTCTGTATCTCGTAGCATACGAATAAAGACTGCGGTATCGAGATCTGGCCCATCGATCATGCTAATATTGCCAGCCGTATCGTTGAGGTTCTGTAGGTTTGGCGGGAATGAAGAGAGGAAGGACGAAAGATAGTGATTATGCAGTAGTGCCTGGTGCCGAGTCGCGTATGCCAGTTCTGTTTCGGAAAGACGTGCGCGGAGAGCCGGAGACGAGAGGTAGTGGAGAGCATGTTTATCGATCTGAAGTAGCAGAGCAGACAGTTAGCCATACTCGGTGCGAATGGTCATGCGCCGAGTTCGGTTGGTGAGCTGCGGAGATTGAGTACCTTTGCAATACGAGCACGAAGAAAGCTCCTGACGAGGAACTTAAAGCGCTCAAGCTCGGTCTGAATGACAATGAGGGCGAAGTTGGTCTTGGGGTCCATGTCGCCCGTCATGTCTTCGACCTTTTCGATCTGGTGCTTGATGCGATCGTTGACGCGTTCAAAGAGACCACCGGTAGGCCATCTGACGCAGCGCATGTCAGCACGACACAAAATTGAAGTTCAAATATGCCGAAAGACAGGAGGTCACGCACTCTAGAAGTTCTGGGGCGGTTCGCTCTGCCACCCAAGCACGCGTCAGGGCTTGTAAGTCGCGTGTCTCGGAGGGAATTGAGTACGAGACTGGATCGACCTCGCGTAGGATATCGTCAATGTCCATTGTTTCTGGCTTTTATAGGTGCATGGACTGGAGCTGGTGCTATAACATGGCGTGATTACGTGCAGCGTCGGGGTGTTGGGGACGCGAGTTCGAGGTCGATTTTGGATCGCGGGATGCTTGGGGGGAGAGAATCGCGGGGTGCTAATTGACTTCAATGGTGGGGTCCTGCTGGAGGTGGAGTCACAGAGCTAGGTAGGTGCAAGGTGCTTGGATAGGAGGGTACGCGCAGATGCCTTGACAAGAAGCTTGGGTCAAGGTATCTTCCTATCTACTTGATCCTGCCATCTCCATCACGCTCTGTACGAAGCTGCTTTCTGATTGACATGGCTATATTCTGGGTTCCTAGAGACCAAGAGTACTGTCATTCTGTTTCCGAGACTGCTTGCAAATAATGTCCCTTGGGAGCCTTAAGACAATTTGTTTGGCGGTTGCTTTGCAGCTGCCGCGTTGCCGATTACATGAACGCCCCGACGGACAACTTTCACTTCCTAATGTTACTATGACGAGTAACATGGGAGCTTCGTGCCGAGGCTCCCAGCCGGGGAGCTTACGGATCTGACACTCTTCGGAGTATTTCAATACGCCAATGCCACCCCCGCAATCCCTCGATCTTCCCAGGTTCGTTTCTAGACTCGTTGTGATAACATGATACACGACTGTCAATCAGAAAACAATTTACAGCGAAGGTCATCTGTAACATTCAAGACAGATTTTCTAGATTTCTTCTAAATCTCTACGAGCTATTCCCTTCTCACAATGGCAGACTCAGGCGATAGCGATGAACGGACCCCTTACTCGGCCTACGCCGTCAGCATCTATCAAAACGGCATTATGGCAGGCCAATTGCCCATCGTAACGACGGATCCCAACGGCCTGCAGGCCCAGGCCAAGAAGGCCATGGGCCCCGAGTCCTTCAACTACGTCTTCGGAGGCGCTGGCGAGCTATCCACTATGGACGCGAACCGTCTGGCCTTTCGCCAGTGGAAGATTGTCCCTCGCTTCCTAAGACCTAGCAATCCTCGGGATTTGAGAACAGAGTTGTTTGGCGTGACTTATGGTACGTTGCGGATGCCAACCCAATTTTAAAATGAGACACTGCTCTAAGACAACAGCTCAGAATCTCCCCTTTTGATGGCCCCCATCGGAGTCCAGAGTATCTTCCATGAGGACAAGGAGACAGGTTTGGCAGCCGCCTGCGCCGAGTTGCAAGTGCCGTACACGTTAAGCACGGCGGCGACCTCGACAATTGAGGAGGTCGCCAAGGTCTGTGGCGACCAGCACCGCTGGTTCCAGTTGTACTGGCCCATGGACGATGACATTACGGGATCGATTCTCAGACGCGCCAGGGCCAACGGGTACAAGGTCCTCGTCGTGACTCTCGACACCGTGACTTTGGCTTGGCGACCGGCCGATCTCGACCAGGCATATCTGCCCTTCATCACTGGCACA